ATAGAATTTTGAGAGTATACGAGTACATTTCCTTTTTTTTTCAATTAGACAAGCGCATTTTGCTGGCTCCTACTTTTTGTAGTTCTTATTTATTTAAACACAATATTAAAAACAAATATTTTTACAAATATACTTATATTAAAAATTTAATTTGAATAACCAATTTTACGTCGCTATAGTTTTAGTAAGACTTTAATTGTTTAGGATTTAACTCATAAATGTAAGTATTATATTAATTTTTACTCTTCTATCCAAATAAATAAACTTGAATCGTCTATTTGTAATTTTAGAACAACAGTTTTAACCGACTTCAGAAGAAGGGGTTCTCAGTTAGCACCCGTATCACCATTTCTTACATTTATCTTTATATGTATGTATGTATGTTTTTCCTCTATGTATGTATGTATGTTTGTCCGCGATTATCTCCCGTTTGGCTATACCGATTTTTTTTTCTTATTTTTTTTTCTAATAGCGCGGGATTAGTGTCTTATGCTTAAAGCTTAAAACTTTTTTTCAGCTCATTTGAATAACATCTTTTGCCTCCATAGGGGCCTTAAAATTTACCTAATGTTTTATCGAAAATGTATAGCATATTTAAGCTAAGATAAATAATAAATAAGAGTTATTCTAGAGATTAAAAATTTAACTAAATAATATAATTAGAATACTTATAATGTAATTTAACAAAAAGGTGAAACAAAATTCAATCATAGGTTTTAAAAAACAAATCGTCAATCAAAAAAAATCAAACTTTGTCTCAAATTTTGGTATTTTCTTACGGGATACCAATTTGGCTTTTATGGCCCACAATCGTGATAAATCCTTACATTGAGAAATGGCCTCTTCTGTCGTCAACTTCAAAGCTCGCTCAACAGTCTGGGTATGACATAGGAGACGTAAAAACAAAAGTTCACCCTCACCACCAGATTGGACTATTTTCTGAATTTCTTGGCTACTTAAGTATTTCAATATCAGTAATGGTGTGTTGCCAAATTATCATATCAATTTAGGTTGTTGGGCTGAAATTAATATCAGGCATTTTGAATGGCATTGGTGCAGGGGATTGCTATATACTCAATGTTACAATTTACTTAATAATAGTATATTTACATAGCGTCAATCTTGGGTCGAAAATCATCTTTTTATGAAATGAGATGGCCAAAATGTGCCCCAAGTTGTACAAAAATAAGACTATTGCTATTAATTTAAATAAAATAAAAAAAGAATTTTGAATACCTATTAACATTTCATAGCAGCTGTTGAAAAATAATCAAGTTTAAAAGTATTTAAAGTGATTTCTTCTCTTTGAAGTCACTCTGTTACACCTTTAATGTGGCCATATGATACTATAGCTAAACTCTAACTAAAAACTATAAAACAATAGCTAAACTCATAAAAATACTTTATTTTTGATATCTTATGTATAAAAACAAACCTTCAATTAACGTATTAATACATCAAAATACACTAAAGGATAGGATTTTTTTTGTACAGCAACAGCTTAAACATGTAGCTTTACATTATAGGGTAGGGTTATTTTACTTTAGTACTTGCAACACTGAATCCGTCCATCAAGCATCAAAACAGTCAAAGTTTCAATGTCAGACTTGATCTGATTTACGTCTACCGACTTACGCGCCGTTTTTTGGTATATTATATGTAGGCTTTCTCTTCGTATTTGTGTTTTATCGTATTTTACTTTTATTTAATAAATGCTGTAGCCCCATCCGAGTGCTCCACTAATTATAAACGGTGTAATACGTAAGTTTAATTATTTTCTGTCTAATATACTTCGATCAATAACAGTTATGTTACAAAAACTAGTTACAAAAAATAATTTCAAAGACTGAAAAAAACTGCTGTCCTTGTTTTTTTTTAGCTAAACCGGTTAGGATATATCCTAATCACCATGCATATACATTAACCTACATAACACTCATGAATTGGAACTTTATTAATATCTACATTGTGTAATAATGATAAAAATCGACTGCCAAAATCAACTTTTTTAAATCTTTATAACTTTTGTCCACTACTACGTAGCTACATGTAATTTTATAATTCTTTATATAGAAGATCTGTACTTTCAAATGACATAGATTTCATCTCTGTACAGTCTGGGGCACAAGCTCATACAATTTTTGGCTATCTCCTTTCAATGATCTTGCGGAGGCAGTTACTCTGAATCAATCCAAATAATATTTTGCATAAGTCAATTTAATTTCTAAAGGCACTTTTTGCGCACTATTAGATTATGATAAAGTGAAAAAAATCCACCCTAATGTGTACCATAGATAATATATTATATAGGGCAGTATGTACACTATGGTTATTAGTAATGGTGGTTAATATAACGCATAGCGCCATATTATTGCGCGCTATCCATATCCATTCCATAGCGCATAGCGCGTGCTATGTAAGTAGCCGCCATGGCGTTATGGTGCTTTGGCGCTATTAATATTATAACGGCAATTAGTTCTAGTAACAACGCTGTTGGGAGTTGTTGGGAGTGGGAGTGGACGCGTGATGCAAATTTGCTCTAGGAGCACGCTTTGCTAATTTAGTGTTAGACGTTATTTAATTATTTTATACTGTATATTTATAAGTTATCGAAAGACACGGTTGTCCGCTACAAAAGTAGCCTAATTTATGTTTTTAAATATAAATAAAGTATAGGTACAAAAATGTATGTAAATAGTTGAATTTTGTATATACAATCAATAAATTTTTAAATACGTTTTAATTAATTTATAATTTACATTAAGGTTAAAATAACGTTTACTTCGATTATAGATAGTCGTATACCTGAAAGCATTAATAAGGGTTCATTGGTTTTTCTTTACTGTTTTATTTTATTTTAGTCTAAAATGCGACTTATTACGAAATAATGTTCTTATATAGCACGCGGTCTATCCATCTAACGACATGTAATATAGCGTGCAACGAAATTTTGCGTGCTGCAAAACTTTACGCGCTTGCCGGCATCCCACACGCTTTCTTATAAATAGCGCGCTATAACATAGCATATTTAATAGTGCGCTAAAAATTTATAGTTCATAGTCTGTAGCCTGCTATTGGTTTATATTCATTTTGATAAACTTTAGATATTAGTATGTAAAACGACGCAGTGACAGCGCTACGTTAACGCAACGCTCACGCAACGCGGCGTGTATACATACCCTTAGGCTTAATCTAGGGGACTATTTAAGTTAAAACCTGAATTCGTGATAGTGATAAGCTCGTGCCAAATTCGTCATTAATATCACATGCGATGTGATTGTAGGAAATTTGAGAAGAACAGTATTAAACGCCTGGGAACATACAATATATGCATCTTAGGTACTAGAATTAAAATCTCAGATACATCTTCTAGATAATGGTGACCGACAAGCGTTATCTCTTTTCTTTTTTACCTTACTTCCTAAAGAAGGTTCATAATAACGAACTCAAGGCAATCCCGTCTCAAGCTACGTCTGAGCTAGCGTCGGCATTTGTTAAAGTATCAAAACAATACTGATATTTTAGGTAATTGAGGAAATTCGCTAAAATAAAGACGCTTGACATATGGATCCCTCACTCACCGAGTGACGCACAGCGAGAGACCCGCGTCCAAGCTTGCATCATATTGCAGTATCGGGATAGAAAGAAAGCAATTTCGATCCAAACTGTTATGTTACAGATAAGTGGATCCTGTACTGCAATCGTAAGCGTTCATCACCGTGGTTAGATCCAGGTGCCCAAGTCAAACAGTGCCTAAAACGAAAACAAATAAATAATTGATTTAATAAACAGAATATCATGCTTTAAATAAAAATTAATTTAAATTTAGAATTCCTACTAAAACCAAAGCTTATATACAGTTCAAGGTGGCCAGATCAACAAAATGTAATTTTCTTACGTAAATTATTATAATTTAATTGACAGCTCTAGTGCAGTGGTAAACCGATTGATTGCTACATTACGGGCCGCGTCTTATGTGTTTGAAATTATAGCACTACTTAACTGGTATACAGTTATAGATAACTAAAAAAAATTATAGTATACCACACAAAACACATACATATAAATATAATTTTTTCTTCGTCCCTTTGAAAGTGAATGTAAGTAAGACGAAAGTTATGGTTTCTGAAAAAGAAAAAAGTAAAACGATATGTGAAATAAGAATGAAAGGGGAGTTGGTAGAGCAAGTCGATGAGTTCGTATATTTGGGATGTGTATTCAGCAGGGATGGGAGATATGATAAGGATATAGAACGACAAGTGGACGTGGGAAATAAAGTAAATGGGGCTCTACACTTTGTTGTGAAAAGTCATAATGTGTCAAAAAAGGCACGTATGGCAATTCACAATGCTGTGTTAGTCCCTACTTAAACGTATGGTAGTGAAAGTTGGGTGTGGCAGAAGAAGCACAAGAGTAGAATAAATGCAGTAGAAATGCGATCGCTAAGTAGTATGTTAGAGCTGAATCAGTGACAGCTTGAGAAACTGTGTGATAAAAGAAGAATGTGATTTTCAAGATGATGTTGTGACCAGAATTAAGAAAGAAATGCTACTGTGGTTTGGTCACGTGGAAAAAATTAATGAGAAAAGAGTGACAAAGCAAATATATATTGCAGAAGTGAATGTTAGGGTCGGAAAGGAACGTCCTAGGCGAAAGTTTATCAACCAAATTGGCGATATATTTAAAATGAGCCAAATTAAGAGTACCCTTAATCAACGAGCAGGTATATGGATGTGGAGGAGACGTGAGAGGTATGTCAGGGTATGTCCATTTAGCACGACTCAATGGAAGTCTGTAGTCTCTGCGTACCCCTCTGGGTGACAGGCGTGAGTGTTTATATTTTATATGTTTATTTTTGTTTCTTTGTCCCGTATACGACCCTATACCACATTATCATATGAACATCTTACACGATTGAACCTATACATACATTTAAATATAGGTTTATATGTCGTAGACTGATATAAAATAAGTGTTTAATACATCAACCTTTATTTAAGGTAACCGCTCTATTGGCTCTGAGCGCTGGTGCAGCTTTTGCGAGCACCGGAGCACTATACGTCACTGAACGGCTGCGCCTTGGACCACGCGGGGGAACACAACTGGTCGTTAGAGTCGCCGTCAACACTCCTGGAAGGAAGAACATAACTGGTAATTATTTTATGTCATAAATAAAAAGACCACAAACAAGATGTCAACTGGAAATTATCGTTTAAGTGGGCATCAAGGAATAAGTGTGTTTTTTTAATAGAATAAGGGTGACAAAGCACACAGTCCACCTGATGGTAAATGGATGCTGTGCCCCATAGACATCTATATTTATCCTCGATTAAGAATCAAAACGCAGACACGTTGTCACTCCTGAGGACTAAGATGGAATGCCTCATTTCCAGTAAAAAAGGGTCTCCGGATTTCTACACTCACCATACGAAACACAGCAGTATTAAGCTGCTATTTTACGCTGGTATTCTGTGAGAGCATGGTTCTTCCTTGGTCGAGTTGACCCCTTTGTGCCACTACCGTAATATAGCTGCAGCGTGGTTCTACCAAGTATATCTACGCTTTCATAACTGTTTGCTTTTCTTTTTCCATAAACAGTGTTGCATTTCCAAATGGATTTGAAATTGCAATACCAGGCGATTTTCAACTTTCACTCTACTCTAATGGCGCTGGTCTGAGTGTCATTTTTTAGCGATAATGGGTCAACATTCAACCAAAATCCTATCCAATCTTAAGCAAAGGTAAAAAATGGTGCGTTTTGCAATGTCAGCTCTTACGCGTGTGGTGCTTAAGAAGCTGGGGACTATTTTAATTATTTATGTATCCACAATTTAGTATTGTTTGTTATTTTATTCGTCTTGAGATAACGAATGATATATTTTTCGAATAGGGTGATGGTGGGTTTGTGTTGAAGAAGAAAAAATCATTCAACACGTTAAGACTATCATAAATTCATCAATAACAATCAAAAACTAAGTATGTTTGTATTTAAATAAAAAATGACTAGTATTTTTAACGTTTTTAATTATCAGTTATTATTTTAAATCATATATTTAAACTGTTAAATAAATTCGGACATATTTTCACAAATTCAGTATATGGTGGTACGGTGAATGTATTATGCGTGGGGGGGGGGGGGGGGGGCAAAATATCAACTTCACTTTTTCTTTCACAAATTGAGTGAAACCTAAAACTGCCTAATTACTTGAAATGCCCTGTAAAATATCAGTGCCATATGTAAAAATAAAGATATCAAAACTTGTAACTATCTCTTGGTTAAAGACCCGTAAGACAAACGACTCTTAACAGAATTCAACCGACTAATGGATGTAGACCTTTCAAAGATCGCGCACAAAGATTACGCATTCGAAAACTTACTGCCGTATACCGAGCGTATTGCCAATACTATATTATAATATCTGGTAATGATAAACCCTTTTACCACAATTTGTGTGGCATGGGGTCGGAATATAGGAATGTATTTTGCTATATATATATATATATATATACATTTACAACTAGCGTCCCGCTCCGGCTTCACATGGGTGGGATGTATTGATGCTTCGTTATTAAGATTTAAGATGATCATTAAAGACAATTTATTATATCCACTTTTTGATTTCTGAAGAAAATCTCCAAGTCCTTCGTATATAATATAGCTTAGATCTCTGGCATTGCTTTCTATCTGTTTTTCAAGTTTCATTTCATTTGGTTCACTCATTTCGAAGATAAGTCCGGGTAGACAAATGAATTTTATTTACACCTTTCTCAGGGTATAAAGTAAAACTAACGTTACAACCTATAAGCATTTAATTGCTGGCCTCCCGAAGGTTATCCCGGACAGAGATACAAAGAGTTTAGACAAAAAATTAAGTATGGGTATTTGTATCTTAATGGTATGCAAATATCTCAGCTGAATAAAATCGGTAATTTCAATAGAGACTTCAATTTTTTTAGTATTAATGCTAACACAATAGATTTACGATTAGTAAGAAAATTTAAATCAACGAACAATTATGAAACTGATTTCAAAAATTATTCGAAGCGTAACCCTTCGAGCAAAATATTTTAATGAAGCTCCGAAGCAGTCTGTCTTATAGTCTAGGATCGCGTCTCAAACTTTTGAGCTTTAACAGGAAGAAGCAAGTAAGGCAAAAGTATTTTCCAAGATTTTCGACTTGTGTTCTTTATATATCTTAATATATACAAATTACGTGTCACGTTATGGACACGCGATGGACTCCCTAAACTACTTAACCGATTTTAATCAAATTTGCTCACCGTGTGCAGTTTGGCCCAACTTGAGAGATAGGATAGTTTTTTTGCCCATGAGTAACCCACAATTTTTTTTGGAATTTATGGATTTTTAATAGGATATGACAAAGGAGCAGAGCAACGTCTGTATATATATATATATATATTAAATTAAAACAACCTCAGCGGTTCGATTAATAATATATATATATAACTAAAGAGTATATAATCGATACGCGCTTAAACTTATATTTTTAATTAATTACGCAAGAGGTGAAGTAACATCATTCGGGACCACACTTTGTGCAAGTGAAGTTTAAACCTATAAACGTCCATCAACTCGCCACAGCACAGGCCTGACATTTCCTGGTGGATGCGCGGGGTTAGCTCTCGCTGTAAACTTCACAGTATGCGAACAACCAGGGTACGATGCCCTCTGACACCAATAAATTGATAATTGCAATTTTAAGTGACGATTTACCACGTGCTCTGCATTAAGAGGAAAATATCGTGAGGAAACCTGTATGTCAAGTCCACAAAAACGCACTGGAACTGCGCGGAGTATTAATTGTGCTAGTAAATTGAATTATCACGGTGATGATAATCACACAACTATGATTAATTAAATGTGATAATACTTGAAAATAAAATATTGTTTAAAATAAGCACAACCTCACTAGGATGTTTTTGTATCGTGAACGCATTTTACTTACATTAAATGCACATACATATCCAGACTTGTAACAATTATTTGTAGGCTAATACAACACTTCTTCCGTGCGGGAATCCCTTAATCACATTTTTTCCGAGCCAAAATAAAAAAATTGCTCATCACAAACTTACAAGCAATTTTCCTTCTTGTTAGCTTCACAGACTTGTGCATTTAATTTTTTTCGGAAAATTTTTATACGTGAACATTTTTCTCTTGTAGGGATCTTGTTTACTTTAACAACAATATTAACGTCAACTCAGTATCCCGAGGGAAACTTTGAAACTATAATATAACAAACTAGGACCTTTATAAAATTATATTATTAAAGTTGAGTGATTAACGTCAAGCATAACTTCTACAGTAGAATAAATAATAATATTGTATATTATATTAATATTTATAATTTGCATTTAAATGGAACTAAAACTAAATGTATGAAATTCGTAACTCCTAATGTCAAACATGTTAATACTAATGTAATTTTAAATGGGGAAGAACTGAGTCTTGTTGATACCACCATTTTTCTTAGAATCACACTAGACACAAAGCTTCAATGGCTTCCCATATATCAAAACTAGCTAGCAGACTTAGTTCTGCAACATATGTTGTAAAAAAGATTAGCACTCTTACCAGTGTTGAAACAGCAAGAATAGTTTACTTTAGTTATTTCCATAGCATTATGTCGTATGGTATTTTGCTATGGGGACACGCGACTGACACTGAAATTATATTTATTTTACAGAAGAGAGCCATTAGAGCAATATTTAATTTAAAACCAAAAGAGTCACTGAGACAAAAATTTAAGGAAAATAATATATTAACTCTGGCCTCTCAATATATTTATGAAAATGTAATGTACGTACACAAGAATAAACGTAGTTTTGCTAAAATAAGTGATATTCATTCTGTAATTACTAGGAACAGACACAAGCTAGAAGTACCAGTTACTCGACACTACCAAGTCAGTAATTCATTCTTGGGGCGATGTATATGCTTTTACAACTAAATCCCAGAAAATATACAAAATTTGTCATACGCAGTAAGTTCAAAAATTTTATTAAACTAAGTTTGTATAAAAAGGGTTATTATAATATTAAGGAATTTATGGATGATAATAACCCCTGGGAAGGGTGATCGCTACCAAGCTATTTCGAATTTGTCTTGTGTTGTTAATTGTAAACATGATTAAGCTATTATTTGAAAAAAAAATAGTCCCGCTGGGTTTCTTGCTGGTTCTTCCCAGGACAGAGGTTTTTTTGCGAACCAGTGGTAAATGAAAAAATCGACTTTCAATAAGTGTTGTTTATAATCTACCTTGAATTATATTATATATATATATATATATATATATATATATATATATATATAGATGAGACTCCGCTCATTGCTGCGAGGGTTTTAAGGCAAGGAAATGTCTTCAAAATATTTTTTTCTTATCACGCAGGTTTCCTTACTATGTTTTCCTTCACCGCTGAGCACGTGGTAAATCTGCACTTAAAGTTCAATTATCATTTTATATTTGCCGCTGGGGATCGAACCCGGGTCGCTTGCCTACTGTTAAATTTACAGCGTGCGCTTAGCCGCTGAGCTTACATATATAAATTTATTGAAAGAAATATTATTACTTGTAATGTTCAAAAGATCCATTTTGTAATATCGTTACCGTTACAGTCTACTCACTGCTGAACATGCCTCCTCCATAAATTTTCTCACGTGAAAGATATTTGCCATAGATGCCACGCCAGGCAGTCGGGTTGTCTACACTAATGTGTGACAACCCGCCTGCCTGGGTGGCATCTTGTCTTTTTAATAACAACACAATCACAGTTGTGTTGTTATTAAAAAGACGCTGCAGCCCGTTTCCCGATGATTACCTCTGTATCCTGCTACGACACCCACGGGACGATATGGGAGAGTGGTTATTATGGACACCGCCACTACCCCTTTCACCAGTTAATTTGAAGAAAATTTATTGAAAAGGAATATTTTGACTTGTAGTATTCAAGCGATTACTGCTACTGTTCAGCAGTGGACTTGTGAAGGGCTGTAATGATGATGATGATGATGACAACAAGTGCGTGTTGCCAGTAACGACTTATAGATCTGAAACGTGGTCCTTCACTGCCAACGGATGGCAAGCTAATCATCGCTCAGCGAGCTATGAAGAGGCCTATACTCGGGATTTCTCTGCGTGATGGACTTAAAAATAAGAATTTCCGCAGTAGAACCAGAGTAACCGACATAGCTCAACGGATTAGTAAGCTAAAGCGGCAATAGGTTGACCATTATAGAAGAACCGACAACTGATAGGGAAGAAAGATTCTGGAGTGGCAGCCTCGTACCGGTAGGCGGAATGTTGGACGACCCCCCACTAGAAGGTTGTCGATGGATGCTGGTGACTCAAGACTGTGCTTTGTATCATATCTTAGGGAGACCCATGTTCAGCAGTAATCTTGTGAACGGCCGTAATGAATGAACATATGAATTTTAGTGCTGTGCGTTTCGGTGAAGTACACAATACAATACTCTTTATTGTACATCAATGAAAGATAAATATAACAAAAAATGAACATGCAATGAGGGAAAACAAAAGGCGGTCTTATTGTTAGATAGCAATCTCTTCCAGACAACCCAGAAGAAGAAATTAATAAAACTAAGAAAAAGATTAACGGGTGGGGTATAACATATTCTTGAAATATTTTAGTTCCTTACACTTTTATGTTTCCTCACAACGTTTATCTTCACCGCGGACTACGTGGTAAACCAGCAACTGCAATTAACAATTTATTGTTTTTGCGATAGTTGCGCGGTTAACGCTTGTTGTCAAGAAGATGTTGCCTGCTACCATCTCCTGTTTCTTAGTCTCCCTCTGTCGCCTCTTACGCCACCCACGGGACGATCTCTTTAAAACCTTTCATTTAATGATACGAGGCTTATGTTGAGAATTAGTACGTTATATGTAAGCAGTTAACTCATACCTAAAACATGTTAGATTATACTATCTTCAATAAAATTCTATTAGATCCTGGAGTGTTTACCCTAAGTCTCATTATTGCACCTACGAGACGGTAGGTACGTATAATTTGGAATAGATAACTTAATCCGCACGAGTTGTACTATGCTGACAGACGGATAAGTTTTAACGACCCTCTGATTTCAGAAAGTTAGTCAAAAAAAGATCGCGCCCAAGCCTTACAGACATAATTACTAGTGCGAAGGTATAGGTTATGCGTCCAACTTACTAAAGTAAGAGTATGAGTAAATTTTTCAAGATATTCGTTTCAAATTTAGCGCATTCTTTATTTAGTTTAGATATATTAGTCATATTAATAGACATAAAGAAAATCCACCTATTTTATGACCTATTCCGGTGGGAAGAAAAAATTGCTATTTACAATACTATGCATTTATTTGAAACAAATTGTTTACATAACAGCCCAATGGTCAAAATAATAACCAATTCTCTAACATTTTTCAGTATTTCATTTGAAAGACAACACTCAAATTAATACGAGCGTGCTAACAAGGTATCCAAATTGATGGCTGAACTACAAATTAACATTTAAATTGAACCCGACCGAAACAATCACATCAACGACGTGAGCTCATGTATTATGCAGATGAGAAGACCCACTATTATAACGTAAACTCATTTGGGAAATATCGAATGACACTAAATTTATGAATTAACTTTATTAAGGCAAAGACACAGTAACATGGAGGAAAGTTTCACTACCTACGAACAAAAGAGTTTTAACAATAATATATATTTGACCCCCACTAGATGGAGTAACGACCTGGTAAGACATGCATGAAGTCGATGGATGCAGGAATCTCACGATCGTGCTTTGTGGCATACCTTGGGGGAGGCCTATGTTCAGCAGTGGACTTGTGAAGGGCTGTAATGTTGATGATGATGATATTTAATAACATATTGTTATTTTTCATATAAATAAAAGAAAAAATAGTGTCTGAAAAAACGTGTAGTATGTAAAAAAATAAAATACATGATCAACTTATGAATAGATACGAAATAAAAAACAAAGATTTTTTCATAGGTTCATACATTTTAAGAGACGCCGAAACCAAGTCAAGCTCAACGTACTCGTATTATAGGAACACGCGCTCATGCACACATATGTCTCTAGGTACATACTCCTATGGTGTACGTCTAGCTGTGGAGTTTTAGGGGCTGACAAAGAAAGTAATAAGAAAGATATGTGCGTGTTTGAAAAAAAATTGAAGAAGATTTTGATGTACATAAATTTCACGCAACGTCCGAGCTAGGGTTGCCAGACGTCCTTTATTTTAAAGCACGTTCTCTATCTCAGACCCAAAAATTGATCTTGTCCCTTAGTCTGAAACTTTAAATGGAGGATAAATCAATATTGCGCGTATTCGATATTCTCTCTGCTAGTTGAGGTCAAAGAAATTAAAAATCACTTTAAGATGTTACAGAGATAAACAAAGTTATATTGATATTAAAATTGTTTTTTTTTTATATTAATAGATATTGTTACAGTTACCATAACAGCATTTTATTGAGAGCAACATGATATCCTTTATTTTAATTCTTCTGTCCTTTATTCAATATTATCAAATCCGCTAAAACATAAAACGGGAGCTGGCAACTTTAGTCTTTACTCTTAACATAAAAAATATACAATCTTAGGTTCATCAATATTTTAAAATCATTGGTTTCAACAGTTTTGAACTAAAATAATAAATGAAATTCCATTATTGAATTTTATTTGCTCATTCAATCTACAATAACAATATAACAGAATTTTGCTATAGTTGTACGAAAACAATATAAAACTCGGCATTGTGACGAAACGTCATAATAAACAAATAAAAGTTTAGTTTCAAACTACAACGATTTACGATTTCAGTGAATGCTAGTAGATCTTAATGGTTTTCTAATGTATTCTAAAAACTATTTTACAATTTTTTTTTGTTGTTTATTGTATTACTATTTTTGTGTATATTGGAAATTATAACAGAATTACATCGTTCCTTCACAACGAAATTGATTTTGGTTCTGTTAGAATGACTATTTATTTACTTTTGATATTAAAAAAATCAAAATTGTATTTAAATACTATATATTATATAGATGATTCGTGGGTGACAAACGAACACCCATTCGTGCTGCATACATATTACAGCTCCAGCGTAGCTTTGCCACATTTATTTATTCTGTCATTTACCCTGTGTTGTCCTAAGCCGATTTTGGAACGATTCCGCTTTTTGAACGTTGTGCCCAATATTGACCGACTTCAAAAACAGGAGGGACTTAATTCAACTGCGTCTTTTATGTGTGTTAGTTACCTCAGAACTTTTTTCTGGATAAACCGATTTAGATGATTCTTTTTTATTTGAAAGCTGGTGCTTCTCGTGTGGTCCTACATAAATTTTATCAAGATCTGACAGGTAGTTTTTGAATTATCCATAATACGTATGTATTTGATTTCGAATAAATTGATGATGTTCTCATTTTGTTTATATTAAAGTTGGTTGTACAAGACTTTTAATTTTACCACTTGCCAGTTTGCAGTTTTATTACAATATCAAGGACCGGCGAAAGCACCTTCACGATACACTTTTGGCTAATTTTGCTTTTCATAGCAATAACTTCTACCGCTAATTTATAAAAACCGATGCATAATGTTTGTGTGTGAAAACATTACGTAAAATTTTAAGCGTGTAACATATTTACTATCATCCTTTTTTTAAAATTTTTTATAAAAAGAGATAAGAAAAATATTACTATAGTTATCATCATCATTACAGCCCTTCATAAGTCCACTGCTGAACAACCCCCAAGGAATGCCACAAAGCACGATACTGAGCCACCTGCATTCATCGACTTCCTGCATGTCTTACTATGGGTTTATATGAATGTTTATAATATATATATATATATATATATATATATATATTAATTATTATGAATCATATAAACCTTCCTCAGAAATAAAAGGATGTGCCCAGCAGTGGGCTGTATATAGGTTGTAACTATAACTTATTTTCTTACTTTAATAGTACAAACAATATTAACTCACATTAATCATGTTGATCTAACTTTTTACTGCTTTCATTTTCAGTGGAAGTCACCGGATACAGCGCCGACAACTGTTCCGTATCTTACACATCTTTTAACAACGAAACTCTGGTCGGCTCTGTGATAAGATCAGCTAGTGTTCTAGTGTTGCCGGAAGGTTTACACAGGAGCGATACGCAAAGCGCATACTTCTGTGCTAATGGTAAGTTTTTATTTTTCATTATAATGAAATAGTTTTCTGAATTTTCATAGGCTTGTATGCGGTTAATATGGGCAAGGCAAGGACACCTTAATCAAAAGGATTACTAAGGGTAGACTTCCAGTCAAGACGGAACGTGTGGAAAATAATGTGATAGATGCAAAGTAATACGAAAATTATAGTAAATAAAAAACACTACTGATATTAAATACATTTACATAGAGCTGTGGTAATAACACATATCATACTCAAAATATTATAAAATATTTTTGGAAGGAATATCGTTACTTAATACTATATATAATTTTGAAACTGCTGATGATGAGATCCCCGGTACGAATCACGGGTCGCGTCAAAATCAGTTATTGGCCGGAGTCAAAAAGTTGGCGGCGTTTCACTTCCATGCCTCGGAAGCAAGTAAAAACCGTAAGTCCAGCGCCTGATCCCTCTCTGGTCGTATCGGATTGCCGTCCCTTCGGACTATGAGAGTGCATACAATAGAAAGTAAAAATGACATAAAATAATTTTTTTCGTCCTACCTGCCTCTTTTCTCAAATATTTTTTATTTAGCAGTTAAAGGAATTCATGCCCATTATGCCTAAATATTTGTTTCATCGTTAACGCAAACGATTTTTTAATTATTTATAATATATGTAGGTATTATATAATATATGTAGGTATAATATATATATAGGATTAACGCAGGGTGGATGAAATGGCGACAGGTCACAGCCACAACGTGCGATCCCCGAATGCCAATAAGGCTGAAGGGGAAAATTTACAAATCGATCATCCGACCTGTCGTCATGTATGGAAGTGAATGCTGGGCCGTCAAGAAGAAGGATGAAAATAGATTGCATGCGAATGAAATGAGAATGTTACGATGGATGTGTGGTGTGACAAGGATGGATAAGATAAGGAATGAGTATATAAGAGGAAGCCTGAAAGTAGCGCCAGTGGTAGAAAAGGTGAGAGGAAGCAGATTGGCATGGTTTGGGCATGTGATGCGGAGGGATGAAAGTCATGTCACAAAACGAGTGTTGAATATGAATGTGGAGGGACACACGGGCAGAGGAAGGCCGAATAAAAGATGGATCGATTGTGTGAAGAGTGATATGAGAATGAAAGGAGTAAGTATGGAAATGACGGCTGAAGAGAGGAATGGAACAAGAAGATTTACTGCGCCGACCCCAGATAATGGCAAATGGTTTAGAGAATGATGATGATATAATATATGTAGGTAGGTGTGGGCGGTACAGTACCTAAACTCAAATTGACGCCGTACGTCGTTGAGCACTGTAGTACCCAAACTCAAACAAGCGGCTAACTGTGCTTGTGTAAACTTATGATAATCATGTCCTGCGCAGATGGCTAGCCCGTGTTGAGACAGGCACGGTTGCTGAAATTCGGTCTTGAGAACATTGTAATAATATTTTTATTTATAGCACAAACTCTTCCTTTTTCTAATACCGCTTAAATTAATTTTTATATCAACGGTGAATGTGCCAAATATATATCTTTAAATATTTTGCGTACACCTTACTTAACCTTTCTCACTTTTCATTATATCCTCTGTAATTTGTTTACCCGGCCACTTATAGGCGGTACGGCTGCCGGTAGCACCTTTGTAATTTGTTTTATTTTTTTATTTTCTTGTTTGTTATATACACACACTTGTGTCCAAGAATCGAACCCATAGAAAATTTTATCAAGATTTATAATGTTTATTAAAATATCAGTTTTTTACAAGTGCTTAAATAGAATTATTAGATATTTTAAATTAAAAAACTAAAATGTAAAAAAATGTATTCAAATATTTTTAACATTTAAATACATTATTTTTTTACCTTTTCACTAAGAATTTGTTTATTCAAATATTTTATTCTCCACTGCGTTACCCCAGACCCGTTTACATAACAAATTTATTCCTCTGTAATTATGTTTATAACTGAATAACTGAATAGACAATGTAATTGGTTTTGTGTTATAAAACGGTTATTTCTACAAAAACAGGTATTATTATTGTTTTATATACCGTTACATCATATTAAAGTCCACTGCTGAACATAGGCATACCCCATAAGTTAACATGGGTTTCGGAAAAATCGCTCAACGAATACTAACTTGATAGCACACGTTGACTATGTATGTACAGAGATGGATTCTAGAAGACAGGTAGATGCCGCATATTTCGACTTTAGGAAAGCTTTTGTTCTGGTGAATAATGACATACTGTTACAGAAGCTAGCTAAGTTGGGTTTTACTCCGAAGCTTCTTCAATTTTTTGCTAGCTATTTGGATAATCGTCGTCAATTCGTTAGAGTAAGTGGTTACGAATCCACTTATTATTTTACTAGATCTGGTGTCTAGTAAAATAATAAGTGGATTAGTCAGGGTAGTACTCTTGGCCCTACGCTGTTCTTAAGTTTTATAAATGACTTGCCTACCAAAGTTAAATCTGCGAAGTGCCTGTTATTCGCAGATGATCTGAAATTAAGCTTGGGAATTGGCAGTGCTGCTGATGCACAGGCTCTTCAACAGGACATAGATAGGGTATCGGAATGGAGTAAGGTGAACCATCTTACTCTTAATGAGACTAAATGCAAGGTTATTACTTTTGCATTAAAACCGAATCCTATCATTATTAATTATAACTTATTTGACGCGCCTATGGTAAGAGTATATGACATAATTGATTTGGGCTTATTATTAGATACTAAATTAAATTTTCACAATCATGACATCCATTTGCAAGTCGGCTAGTAAGACTTTGGGTTTTGTGATGAGAACTGCTGCTGACTTTGATGATATAAGGGTTGCTAAAACTTTGTATAATGTGTATGTTCGGAGTAAACTGGAGTATGCAGCTGCGGCCTGGAATCCTTATGAGAATAAGTATACTATCATGTTAGAGAGAATACAACGTAAATTTGCTCGTTGGCTTTATAAAGCGTCACGGTTACTACCCTTATTTGTATCCTTCGCTTTTCGTTTTGGGTATGGTTGATTTAGAAACCCTAGTGTTTAGGAGGGTGATGTCAACTATAAGGTATTATCTTTTTATAATCATCACCACAAGTTGGACCGCCAGTCGGTTGTGGAGTGAATCGGTTTGTAGGTGCCCAGGTACCTGCAGAGAGATAATGGAGGAACGGTGGCTCCGCGCCGTAGTCCGCGTCTCCTAGACAGACCAGTTACACGTACCAAACGTGCAACCTATACACCAACAAATCGAGCATTGATACTAATAGGGGACATACTCACTCAACACGATGAAATTGACATATTTGCAGACAGTATGACACGTCTGCTGAATCTTTTTATAAAATTATCGATAATAAGACAATTAATAATTCGACAATATAATTTGCTTGACTATTTACTATTTATTACTTTGTATTTAAGATGTAATTTTAATTATGGACATATATTGTAATTAGCTTTTATTGACATTGCATTATAAATTAATATGACAAAATATTTCATAGCCTGACATTGTATGATTGCGACCTTTTTCTTTTTATATTCATATTTCAATATTTTATTTTCATATTTTAATTTCTCAACACGCGCTGCTAAAGGCTTATAACACTAATATTGCATAATTGTTTAATTAATGATTATTATTTTTAATCATTAATTTATAAGTGATAACTATTAATTCGTTTGTTATAATTGGATAAATTATTTTTAAATATTTTTGGTATGTAAAATTAAACCTTGTGTGCGTGTTGGATTTTCTGTAAGCCACAAGAGTTTTTGAATTAAATAAATAAATAAATAAGTTGCCCCATAGGGATGATATATGCCATAGTTGCCACGCTTGCCAAGCGGGATGGCAAACGCAGTTTTTTATTTTCAGTCGTTATTAGGAAGCTGCTTGCTGCAGCCGCTACTGCCTATCTCCTGATTTGTTTCCCTCTGTCACCTGTCACGATACCCACGGGATGATATGAGGTAGTGGATATTATTACACCACCACTACACGGTATTAATAATAATCTTTATTTCCAAATATATCCGTTAATAATATGTCTATTTATAAACTACACAGGAGTATTCAATCTTATAACATGAAAAATAGCACCCATTGCCGAACTAGACCAAAACCTGTATTCCATCATATGGTGCCACTCCCCGGACATAATAAACATAAATTATATATTTATATTATGGAAAAATTACCTAACTTTATTCTTTATATTATATATGTGTTATAAAAAATGTAAAATAGAAAGAAAAAAATATGTAATATGTATACTCTATACACTATAATACCTCTTTTTAAATGCTCTTGTGTACGTGGTGTGTGTGTGTGTGTGTGTGTGTGTGTGTGTGTGTGTGTGTGTGTGTGTGTGTGTGTGTGTGTGTGTGTGTGTATGTAAGAGGATGTGAACGTGAACGAAAAATACAATTTAATGAATACCTTATGTTACCTAACAATAGAAGTTCGAGCTTAGTTCATATTAACTCAGCGTTGCACAGTCAAAAGATCTTCCGCTTCATCATTTCCTGGAGTCAGTAACCAATCTGTTATTTTCTTTTTCATTGCTTTATATGTAGAGAGTAAACTGGAATAATTTTTCTTTGTTATATGCAATAGGGTCCAAAAAAGTAAAATTTTCGAGTAATTGGGGTATAAAACTGTTTTAGTTCGCAGGGTCTGTATATTCTGCACTTTATAAATTTATGAGGATCAATATCAGTTCACTGTGTTGTTTCAAGATTATCTCTAAATTAAACAGTTGTCTAATGGTAAGGACTACACAATTCTTAAACAGTAGTTTGGTTGGTGATAAGAAAGGTCGAAAAGTACTTACTTTAAGTACTGACGCTGGGCAATTTCTAAGCACTTAATAGTAGAAAATGGCGCTCCTCCCAAAGAAGTAATGCTGTACGATATCAGTGATTGACAGAGTGCAAAGTAAATTTGCTTTATTAGTTTGTATTCTACAGTGTATCTGAGTATTTTAAGGATTATTATGAATTTCCGTACTCAGCAACTGAATATGTGTTTTAAAATTTAAGTGACAGTCTAACATTACCCCCAAGTATTTTATTTCATTAATACACTCAAATTTAGGACAGCAACATTTATGTTTGTCTATAAAATTGCAACTGTGAGCCATTAGTTGTAATTTATCTACAGGTTCTTTCGATCTCCGAATAGATAAAGGAATGCATTTTGTTTTATTGGAATTTAGTGTCAAAACACCCAGCCATCTAGATCAGAATCGTCCTGCGCAGCCTTCCATCAAAAACTTTCCTTCAGGAAATGGCTGAAATTAATAGAACTGCATCATCAGCATAGGAGATCAGATAACCATTTAAAGGCTTAAATGAACTTAGTTCAATAATATAAATCAGAAATAAAGTTGGTCCAGGAACGGTGTCCTGTGGTACTCCATAAGAAATAGGTGCATATGTGCTATACCATTTAAATGTTTAAATGAACTCAGTTCAATAATAGAGGAATAAAGTTGGTCCAGGAACGGTGCCGTGTGGTATTCAAAAGAAATAGGTGCATATTATGTGCTAATATATTCTCCAACTGCCTGTGGCTTGAACACGATTTGCAAGCTTATTTAGCAGAGTTGGAATCGATACCGTATGCCATGTCATGTCTAGAAAAATGGCTATACATTTATTATGTTTACCTAAATTGGTAGCAACAAAGTTAATCACTGCATGAAATGCATCAGAAGTTAATTTAACCAAATTGGTTATTGGAATATTGTTTTATATATACGAGTAAAAATAATGAACTTTCTGTTTTATAACGCATATCTTGATTAGGTAGTTTAACGTTATATATTAATTAGGTAAAAGAAAATTAGATTTATTTTGGCCCGACCTGTAATTCGAATCCGAGACCTCATAATGAGCAGCAGATTTTATTACCACTAAAATAACGAGGCAGTCTCTACATATAAAATAAGGTGAGAGACATGCTACAGGTATGCAACACTTCAACAATTTTCTTGTATTTACAGAACATCTGGCCGTTTCTTCTCGGGGATCGTGGGAGTGGCAATGGGTAGCAGCGCCGCGCAACCGTGCTGGTCTAGTCCTCGAGCTTCGGGCACAAGGCGCTGCGCATGTCGCCCTTTCGGCTATACGCGAGCCTTCGGACAATATGTACAGAGTTGTGTTTGAGAGAACTCGTGTTTGGATCGCTAAGGGAAAACATGGTATGGATATTTAAATTCTAAAACGTATCCTTATCGTACTCATTTTTAGGGTTCCGTTGTCAACTAGGAACCCTTATAGTTTCGCCATGTCTGTCTGTCCGTCCTCGCTTAATCTCTGTAACCGTTAGCATTAGAAAGCTGAAATTTGGTACTAATATGTGTATCAATCACACCGACAAAGTGGTAAAATAAAAATTGGAAAAAAATGTTTTATTAGGGTAACCCCCCTGTATGTAAAGTGGGAAGTGATTTTTTTTTAATTTCAACCCTAACGTGTGATATATTGTTGGAGAGGTATTTAATAATGAATAGGGGTTTACTAAAATCATTTTTTGATAATGTCAATAATTTCGGAAATATTCGCTCTAAAAGTAAAAAACAATGTTGTCCCCCCCCCTCTAACTTTTGAACCATAAGTTTAGAAAATATGAAAAAATCTGAAAAGTAGAACTTTATAAGGACTTTCTAGGAAAATCATTTTGAACTTGGATGGAAACAACAGTACCCACTACCGGGAGCAGTTGCAGGAGCGCGGAGCGCTGCTGGAGCGCGAACATAATGGATGGAACCCACCTTTAAACTCATAAGTGGGAACACTTATTGTGACAGACGGGAAACTGCGGAACCCTACACTGAGCGTGCCCCGACACGCTCTTGGCCTGTTTTTAATTATTGCTTATTACTTTGTTTACTCTCGAACATCCCGGACTTCACAACTTGCCTTCCAAAAATTGTTGACGTCATTAAATAACACTTGCATTTTTGTTTACCAACTTTAAGGGTGCTTACTGTTTTATTTTTCTCTAAAATTATGCATTTTATCGAATAGTTATTACTAACGGTAATTTCAAATTTGTCATTAATATCGATTAAAAAACAATTCATCGAAATTTTATATTTTCATGGATTTGAGTTTTTTACCATGTAGTGGCAATGTAAGTATATCCACTACACCATATGGTCCCGAGGGTGCCGTAAGAGGCGGCACAGGGAACTGAAACAGGAGATGGGCAGCATCTTCCTGATAACACCTAAAGTAATAGGCTGTAATGGATGGTAATGGAACGAAGTTTTATACAAAAATAATGTATAATTTATATAAAAAATAAGTTGTGTAATAATACAACCGTAATAATAATCATTATTTTTAGTTACTAAGCGGATTTTGTTAGTAAACAATTTTGATTAATCTATACATATAATAAATCTATAGAAAAAATATTTGTTCACGATTCACGGCAAAAACTACTGGACAGATTTCCATGAAATTTTGTTTATAGGCAGTGCATGATGGCGTCTAACATATAGGCTTAACTCTAACATACATATAACTTTTTATCCGAATATGGAAGACTTAGAAAGAAGGTTTATGTTTTTTTAGAAGTTTATTGTCATAATAATGGTTGTGGTGGTTCTATTAGTCATAAAGAGGATATAGACGTTAAATGAGTCTATAGAAAAGTGTGTGCGTGTAAAATGAAACTCATCGCGTAACCAACCAGAAAGGGCAGAATAACGTCTGCCGAGCCATCTAGTATCTAATAAGGACCAAAAGAATATAAAACTAACTGCAAAGTTGTGGCGGAAAAATAAAATCAAAGTCAAAATATAACATAGAAAGCTGCACCCCTGGGTGTCATAAGGGGTGACAATGGAGTATGCTGGAAAGGTCTCATTACTTCCAATAGATGACATTATTAGCGTCTCATTTACACCAGTGGAAAAATAGACCTAGACCTGCGACGGGAAACAGTTTCCAAGGATGTAATCACCAATTCTCTAACTATACTCAGAAATTATGGTAAATCCAAAGAAGGCAACTTAAGCAGCCAGTTTCCAGCAAGTTTCTTTTACGGGCTAATAGAGGAGAAAACAAAAAACCTTTTTTTCTATTAAATTTAATTACACTTTTTTCTTGCATTTCAGGTTACGACGTTCACTTAGCCAGCGCAGAACAAACGGAGAGTGATGATGAATGCTCAGGAGCTGAGTCGTGGTGCGCTTGGTGGGTATGGTGGGAGGGAGGGAGACTGTCCGTCGGTAGAGGAGCGGCACCCTCTGAGCGGAGACTGCTGGTGTGGCCGTTGACTTCAGATATGAGAATAAATTACGTCGGCTTCAGCGCATTGTGGGGAGAGAAAGCTGACTTCAGGTGAACTATTTAAAAACTTTTGAACGATATCTATTCTTTTTTTGGGCCTGTAAAAGTCCATTGTATGGTCCATTGCCTAACTACATATGGAGTGGATTAACATGCCTAACATGAATATGTAGTGGATTGACGATCGCAGTAAAAGTCTTGCGCTATTGATGCTGCTGCTCATCGACGGTATGGTTATTTTATCCTGACGTCAATAAGATTGTTATTACCGCCATCTATCTGAAGCAGAAATATTTCTCTGGTATTCATATAGTCGCCTCTTACGACACTTATGGGACCTTACTTCATAAGTTCATTTCGTTAACTGTATATGGAGACTAAAATATTATAATTGTGAATAGTTAAGTAACGTACTCAAAGTAAAACGTATTTATTTGCCACAAAATGCAAAATTCAATCTTAAAATTTAAATAACTTACCCTAAACAGAAGCAACTAAATAATGATTAGTTGTATTGTCACACAACCGTCTGCGACTCTCACCCTCACACACTCTCACAGCCTGTTAAATACATCATTTAAATTATCATTATAACATTTTAATTTCTTATTATATTCGACTACTGTCGTGAACCACTCCTAACACATGCATTTTAACCTTACCAGGAATGCTTAAAAGGAATATTAGTAGTTAGTAACAATTCACAAAAAGTATTTCAATCGATCAGTGTTAACATAACTACCCAACTTTTAAACGCTCTTTGACCCTGTGTTAGATTAGACTGTGATGTTGGTTTTTGCGAAAAAAATTACAGTGGCAAACGAACTTAGAGTCCACTTGGTGATAAAAGTGCATCTGATGATGAATGGGTACTGCAGTCTGCAACCAACTTCAATCAAAGAAGGCAACAGATGCTTTGTCACTTCTGAATGCCTACTAAGATGGAAAGCCTCACATCTTTTAATTATACTGACTCTCATACCATATAGAGTACTGTGTTTCGGCACAGAAAGTACACACACTGCTACAGGGCGGCAGATATAGGTAAGAGGGTATTGTATAACTGGGCGGACTTTACGACAGAAAAGTATCTAAACCTATAACCTTTTTTTATATAATAGGAGAGACAAACGAGCACACAGTTCACCTAGTAAGCGGATGCTTATAGACATTTACATCTAACCTTGATTAAGAATCAAAATTCTGATGCTTTGTCACCCTTGAGGACCAATATTGAACGCCTCATTTCCAGTGAAAAGAGTCTCCGGTTCTCTACACTCACCATACGAAACACAGCCGCATTAAGCTATTTTACGCTGGTATTCTGTGAAAGCGTGGTCCTTCCTTCCTGCTCGACCGGAGCAGACAGACTCGTGTTACAAACGCAATATAGTTGTAGCATAGCTCTACCACGCTTAAATCTATTCAGCATCATCATCATTTACTGGCTTTAAATATTTACTGCCTCCCCTATAACTTTCTTCGTAGGGAAGATATTTGCCATAGTGGTAACCCTTGACTAGCGGGTTTTCATCGCAGTTTTTTTTTAATTTATCTTTGTTGTTATTAGGAATATGCTGCTGCCAATCTTTTGTTGCAGTTTCCTTCTGTCGTCTTTTATGACACCAACAATGTTTTTAGCTTTAATAATATTATATTTATTTTAATGAATAATAGATATTTATGTATTTAAATCTAGCCGTTTTAGTACAGTACGTATTAGATTATGATTAATATTTCCTACACATCCGCTATCGATAAAGAGGCCAATAAAAATGATTCTGCTTTACAGAATATGGAACTTCAACGAAGAAGCAGGCTTTTCTCAAGTATTAGAACTCGGTCTGCCTCACGGTGTAGTGCCGGGTTCGGCTAGTGGAACACTTCTCGTATCAGGCGGTCTGCATCTTCCCTTATACAGCTTACAAACCGATTCTGCTGATCAATGGGCTTCAGTGTGGAGAGATTCCCAGTTATCAGCTGCAGCAGCGAGTTTAGCGCCGTTGTTAGCGTTGGAGCACATTCCCCACTTGGTCGAGGATGCGGAAAGAGAAAGAATACTGAAAAAACTACCCGAACAGGTATCATTTTGGATTATATAATTGTCGCTTTAAATATTTACATTGTTTTAGTTAAAGTGTTTTTGTCGTCGCATTCAATAAAATAACGTTTATTTTCAGGTTCAAATCCTTTTATCGTTTCGTAAGAATGACAACTCATTTAGCGACCATCCTGCGATGAGTAGTCACTTGTCTACAATAAAAATATTGGAGATATTAACCAAAATACAGTCCTATTACCCCATCGATCCTGACTTACTCCAGAAAATAAGAAAATGGATTCAATCGAGGCAAGACGCTGACGGGTCATTTTCACCATTACCTGCTGACAAAGAAGTTGACTATTACCAAGTAGAAATGAAAAATTCCAATGGAACTGAAATGGAAGTAAACGAATATTATTATTATGATAAAGATGGAAACATGACAGAAAAGGAAATAGAATTGGAAAGGAGAGCCGAAGTAACGGCGGAAACTTTGGCTGCATTGCTAGAAGTTGGTGTAGAAAATCAGGTGCTATATACAAATTAACAACATTTTTTATTTAGTTTGATCTTCACCAGACTAATTATTGACCAATTAAAACTTACGATTAGTCGAGAGCTACAGTGGCGGATTATTTTTAAGGCAAACTAGGCATGTGCTTAGGGGCGCAGGGTCAAAAAGGGGCGGGTCGAGTGCTCAATTTTTTTTAAGAAAAAAATATCGTGGACACGTATCCTAATTATTTTAAAACTAAACTATATTATTAATTATCATATAGTTTATTTGTAAAATAAGTAATTATAATTAATAATATATGACCGCCAAAGGAACGCCGATGAGGTGATATCCTAAGGCTAATAGCTCATCGGCGTTTCAAATAGGCCTCTGGAGAGCTATCATCTGTACATGAAATATAACAATGCCACTATGAGGTATATGCTCGAAGACAGTGGATATCACTGGATATTACATATATAAATGCGATAGTTGATAGTTTGCGGTCTTCTTTTACGACACCCGTGAAATTATACAAATGGTGAACATGGTCAATTGCCTTGTAAAAGTTTTTTTCTTAATTCTAAAGGATTTATCAGTTATAGAACATCACTTTGTCTTATAGTGGAATTCTACATACATTCTATATAAAGTAATTGGCAAGTTTCTTTCAGTTTGATGCAAATGTTGCGAAGAGATCTCAAGCTTACCTGGAAAAAAATATATATAATCTCACATCACCGGCTGCACTTGCTGCAACAGTTCTGGCCCTCGTTCTTGCAAGGTTCGTTGTTTAATTTTTTATTTTTTTATTGAATTATTTAAAAGCATTATTATAATAATTAATAAGAATGCAGATTAAAAATGGATGAGTTAACCGTCAAATGCCTTTTGTACGCCGATGATCAAGTTATTCTTGCGGCCGAGTTGCAAATGATGGTTACTAATGTTATTAATGAACAGATCATTAAAAGAAAGGGGTATGAAAGTGAACGCAAGTGAGACGAAAGTTATAGTTTTTGAAAGAGAAGAAAGTAAAACGGTATGTGGAATAAGAATAGAAGGAGAGTTTGTCGAGCAAGTAGATGACTTTGTATATTTGGGTTGCATATTTAGCAGGGATGGGAAATATGATAAGGATATAGAACGACGAGTGAACGCAGGAATAGAGTAAATGGGGCCCTACACTCTATTGTGAAGAATCAAAATGTGTCAAAAAGGCACGTATGGCAATTCACAATGCTGTGTTGGTCCCTAATTTTACGTATGGTAGTGAAAGTTGGGTGTGGCAGAAGAAGCATGAGAGTAGAATAAACGCAGTAGAGATGCGGTTCTTAAGGAGTATTTTAGGGCTGAATCTGAATGACAGGGTGAGAAATTGTGTGATAAGAAAAGAGTGTGGTTTTCAAGTTGATGTTGTGACCAGGATTAAGAAAGGAATGCTTCGGTTGTTTGGTCATGTGGAAAGAATGAATGAGGTAAGAGTGACAAAGAAAATTTATGTTGCAGAAGTGAACGGCAGAGTTGGAAAGGGATGTCCTAGGCGAAAGTTTATCGACCAAATTCGCAATATATTTGTAGGTGCTGCGCACACACATACACGCATGTATACTTTGCAATATTGTATCCATATACTTAGTGAATAAGATTTTTCAGTTAGTCACTAGTTGCCCGCCAACTGTATTGCACGTTCCGCTATAATAAATATTAGCAAAAGATTACATCTTTTATTATGGTCACCAATAGGTACCCCTATGGAGTCAGCTCCTAAACTGGTGACCCCGACGTGATAGATGTGCCCGACGTGATAGACGTGCCCGACATGATAAACGTGCCCGATGTGATGAACGTGACCGACGTGATGTTAATTCAGTAGTGGGCAATATTCGCGTGGTTGTGATCGGACGGACAATTTATATAACATGAGTGCGCCGTTTCCGCCAACGCCACAGAACGTGCCGCCTGTTAACGTGCCACTCGTTCAAGACATCCAGTCCCGGCTCTCAGACTTTTGGACGGACCAACCGCGCGTATGGTTCGTACGCACAGAAGCTATCCTCGCACCTCAGAGGATGAGTGATGAGGCGAAGTTTGACCTGGTTGTGTCCAAGCTAAGTAAGGAGGTCATCGCGCAAGTGACGGACATATTACTCAACCCGCCTCCTACCTACAAGTACGACGCACTCAAAGCTCGGCTGCTCCACATCTATGAGGATTCAATGTCGAGGCAGATCGAGAAGCATATGAGCGAGCTAGACTTGGGCGAGCAGAAACCATCTCAGCTGCTTCGTCGGATACGTGAGCTCGCTACTGACAAGGTTCCTGATGAAACCCTTCGCGTGCTGTGGCAGAGTCGTCTTACGACACAAGTTCGAGCCGTGCTCACTATGTCTGACTCCAAGGACCTGGACAACCTAGCAGCAGTCGCAGATAACGTCATGGAGGCTGTGCGGCCTTCCTATGCCGCCACCGCTACCTATGCCGTGCCACCGCCAACATCTACGGCCGCCCTTGACTTGGCCCTGTTGAGGGCTGAGGTGGCTAAAATAAAGGCTACCGTGGACCAGATCGATCAGCAGAGGTCGCGGTCTCGCCCCCCTGATCGCAACCGGCGTCGTTCGCAGTCCAGGCGCCGTAGCGGTTCCCGCCGGCCCCGGAAGGAGAACTACTTATGCTTCTACAATTACCGGTTCCGAGAAAAGGCCAACAGGTGTACGAAGCCTTGCGCGTGGAAACCAACACAGCCGGAAAACTGAGCGGCGGGGTACAGTCTGAGGATCTTCAGGTCTGTACCATTTTTCCATTCAATCGTTTGTGTGTGTCAGACAGTAACTCTGGGCTTAGATTTTTAGTCGACACCGGTGCCAATGTGTCTGTTTTACCAGCCGTGAGAAAAGATCGTGCAAATCAGTGTAGTGAATATAAATTATACGCAGCTAACGGTAGTGAAATCGCAACTTACGGTACCAAGACACTAGTGTTAAACTTAAACTTACGACGTGGAGAAAACCGCTATCATAACACCATTCGGACTTCTCGAGTTTCCTCGAATGACTTTCGGTTTGCGTGGAGCAGCACAAACCTTCCAGCGTTTTATGAACTCCATTTTACAAGGTCTTGATTTTGTCTTTTGTTATTTAGACGATTTACTTATAGCTAGTGACAACGAAGGTCAACACAGGCCACATTTAGAGATTATTTTTAAAAGGCTTAATAAATATGGAATTTCAATTAATTTGGCAAAATGTCGTTTCGGACAAACTAAACTAGAATTTTTGGGACACGAGATTAGTACTGACGGCGTCAGGCCGTTGCAAGATAAGGTTCAGGCAATTGTGGAATTTCCGAAGCTGAAAACGGTTGCAGAGCTAAGACGTTTTCTCGGTATGGTCAATTTTTATCGAGCTCATCTTCCCAACGCTACTTTATATCTAACAGAATTAAATAAATATCTTAAAAGCTCAAAGAAAAATGATAAGACTCCCATCGTCTGGACGGATAGTGTGAACGAAGCATTTACGCAATGTAAGGCAGGTCTCACACAGGCCGCTACATTGACGTACCCTAGAGTGGGTTCCGCACTTGCTATAATGACTGATGCATCTAATACATGCGTGGGAGCAGTCTTGCAACAAAAAGAAGGAGATAGCTGGAAACCATTGGGCTATTTCTCAAAAAAATTGACCACCACCCAACAGCGATATAGCACATACGATCGCGAGTTGCTCCCTATATACTTAGCTATAAAACATTTTCGGAAATTATTTGAAGGGCAAGAAATAACCGTGTATACGGACCATAAACCTTTAACTTTTGCATTTTAAAAGGTAGGACGCGATGAAAGCGAAACGCCTCGGAGAACGAGACATTTAGCTTTCATAAGTGAGTTCACTACAAATATAAAACATATAACCGGTACGAATAACATCGTAGCTGACACCTTATCGCGCATCGAAGCCGTGACTATGCCAACTGCGTTGAATTTCGATGACATTGCAAATGAACAGCGTAGCGATAGTTATATCACGAATGTTATGTCTGTTTTAAATACCGATAATATTTTGTTAAAGGAACTAGTTATACCTATGTTAAATAAGTCTATTTTTTGTGAGATGTCTACTGATACAGCTCGTCCGTACCTACCGGAAAAGTTTCGACGCCTAGCTTTTGATAGTTTACATAATTTGAGCCATTCTGGAATTCGTTCTACGCGAAAGATGTTAGCCAAAAAGTATTTCTGGCCTAGTATGAATCGTGATATTTCTTTATGGGCAAAAACGTGCATACAATGTCAGTGTTCTAAAGTTAACAGATATACGGTATCGAATCTGACTAAGTTTCCGGAAGTAGATCGTTTTGAGCATGTGCACATCGATATCGTTGGCTCTCTTGAGATCTCACCGGATGGTTATAGATACTTACTCAGGATAATTGATAGGAGGACCAGGTGGCCTGAAGCTTTTCCGTTACGCGACATTACGGCAGAAACTGTTGCCAAACATTTATATGAAGGTTGGATTTGTCATTCATTACGGTTGCCCGATAAAGTTAACTAGCGACCAAGGTCGCCAGTTTGAGAGTAGTCTTTTTAACCAGCTGTTAAAAATGTTGGAGGTTAATAGAATTCGAACTACTCCTTATCATCCGCAAAGCAATGGCGCAGTTGAACGTTGGCACCGTTCTTTAAAAACAGCACTTTCAGCTCGCCTGTCACATGGGTCCTGGGTGGAAGAGCTACCCACAGTATTACTTGGGCTTCGCGCGGCCGCCCGCAGCGACTCAGGGGTTAGAGCCGCCGAGTTAACGTTCGGACGAAAATTTACGTCTACCGGGAGACTTTTATGACAGCTCTTCGAACAATCGTAACGTCAATGATTATTGTTTAGTGGATAAGATTAGAGATACTATTCGTAGTTATAAGCCTACATCCCACGATTCACGTAACTGTCAAAGTTTTTTGTGCACAAGGACTTACGTAACTGTGAATATATCTTTATTAGGGACGATTCAATACGTAAACCTTTGAAACCACCCTACGACGGTCCATACCGCGTGATAAAAAGGGGCTCAAAGGTTTACCTAATTCAATTACCCGATAGACAGGTACATTTTTCTATCGACAGATTAAAGCCTGCATATGTATTAAAGGAATGTGATGGTAACGAAGCAACGCCACGCCACAGTAACGCTGACAACGCAGCGGATGTGGCACCTGCGCATGTACGGTTCGCGTTACCACCGCCCACACCGGTGACGTCGTCGTTACCCGGCACCGAGCAACCCGATAACGGTGAAAACAACGCGAAGTGGTCGCATTGTTAAGTTACCTTCACGATTTCTAAGCTAGTGTTAATATAAAATATATATAATACAATTACATGTCTAAATGATAATCAGGTTTAGTTACTATGGATGTGAAAGTATTATTTGCATTGTTAGGTGCATAATATTTTCATTCAGGATATTCAAGTTACATTATTTAAGTTGAATGTAATTGTAGAGGTATTGTGTTCAGTATTTTGCGTATACTGCAGTTTCATTGTTTCTCAGACTCAAAATACTGTAGAGAATAAAGTGGATAATTTTCAAATATGGTTATATGTGATAGCCAGTTTTATGGGGGCGATTATCCTGTACACTATTTGGGTAAAGTTTGATAAGAAGTTCAAAAGCTGGCTTCGCCGTCAAGTGTTAATGGCAGGCGTTCCAATATCGGGGCAGAAATTGGGTCAGATGATAGGTGCTTCTAGCACCAGTCTGCAGCACGCGCCCGCGCCCGCCACGGTAGCCGCCCCTTTTGCGGGGGTCTCCGTGCAGCCCTGCGCACAAGCGCATTAGCAAGTTTTTGTTGTTAGTTTTAAGTTTTGGTTTATATTCATTGTATAGTTTTAAGTTTTTTTATTATTTTTTTATAAAGGGGGAAGTATTGTAGGTGCTGCGCACACACATACATGCTTGTATACTTTGCAATATTGTATCCATATACTTAGTGAATAAGATTTTTCAGTTAGTTACTAGTTGCCCGCCAACTGTATTGCACGTTCCGCTATAATAAATATTAGCAAAAGATTACATCTTTTATTATGGTCACCAATAGGTCCCCCTATGGAGTCAGCTCTTAAATATTTAAAAAGGGCCAAATTGGGAGTACCCTTAACCGACCAGCATGTATGCGTAGGTATATGGATGTGGAGGAGGCGAGAGAGGTGTGTCAGGATCGTGCCAAATAGAAGTCTGTAGTCTCTGCCTTCCCCTCTGGCTGATAGGTGTGAGTGTTTATTATGTTATAAATTTTTTATTTGCGCCACCAGTAATGCGTCAAAAATGATGCGACTTTATAGTTACCAATACAAAAAATTTCTTAAATAAATTTGTTTTTACATCAAAGTTGAAAAGTTTAATTTTCAAACAACAAACTGTATACTACTTCACTGCCCACTCCCTAAGGGCACAAACATCTCCACTTGCGCCCTTACAGACTGTGAGGCAACCTCCTTTTTACTGACGTCAAGAAAGGACGAGGTTCTAAGTCGGACTGTACAATTTTTCTTTTATGTATGTTACGCGATATCTTTATCAATTGTTAAAGTATTGTAAAGATTCTTTTGTTACGAAATAGTTAATATTTATGGGATGGTCTCGTTAAAAATTCCACCCCCTAAGTATGTAGAAATAGGCGAATAAGTATTCAACTATTTAAACGATATTCTAATTGTAACAATAAATTTGTGATACTATTTAGTTTACTCGAAACGGGCAAAAACTTAACCTTTCAATAAAAGTTTAAAGCCGATTTCAAAGAACTAAATACACAAAATAATTTACACATAACAGCTTCCAAAATTGGGATTTTAATTATTTTATAGGTATACCATGTCACATCACCGATTTCTGAAACTGTGAGGTGGAAATTATTTTATGATGTGCATTGCTTTGGAATCGGCGCTTACTGTTAATTTTTTTTTATATCATTATAATTTTTGTAGGCAAAATTCTATGGTTCCACCTATTGACTTTTACCTGATGACAAATTTATATTTACGTATAAAAAATCCCTTTACATCATATATAATATGGCGCAAATATGAAGCTGCACGCCAAAAGAGCCGTGGTAGCTCAGATGGTTAGCGCTCGCTGTAAATTTCACAGTATGCGAGCAAACCGGGTTCGATCTACCCGGCACCAATGAAATTGTTAATTGCAATTTGAAGTGCTCGGCGGTGAAAGAAAACATCTTGAAGAACCCTGCATAATATCAGAAAAATAAGAAAAATTAATATTTCGAAGATATGTGAAGTTCACCAACATGGGGCATTTGGGGCAGAGCGGCGGACATTTCCTTGCCCTAAAACCCTCACGGAAATGAGCGGAGGCCTGTGCCCAGGAGTGGGGCGTATGTAGGCTGTAACTCACGCGATATTCGATGTTCTGTCCCAGGTTTATGTGTACAGTGCTTAAACACAACAATAGAGCTGCTGTTATTTGCTAATATTGCATATGCCGTGGAACGACGAATTCATATTTTTCATATTCCTTATTCATATTAGATGGGACACAAAATTTCAATTAGAAATTCATATTTTTGAATAAAACTATATACACGGATTCTATCGCATTTAATTTACTTATTTTCATGGGGTCATGGGGGGACTTTGATGTTTGACGTCCCAATGTCATAGTTAACCCGGCTATCTTCAATTTTTTAATATTAACTTTCGCTCCAATCTACGCAGAACCAGCGTTACAGTATCTTGGTCTTTTAGTGGTATGCTTGGTTTTGGGCTTAATTTTGTTAATTATAGAATCCCAAAAAGATGGCAGCAACCATTTATCTTCTCTGTTGAAATTAGGATTTTTTTTTAAATTTCAATAACCTCGCGTATTATTCTTTGTAGGAATCGGTGTCCTTTTGCGAGGATTTGTGGTTATTCAATTCTGATGTAATGGTGGGGGCGATCTTGAACATGTTCACAGACTTCAGACTTCCGGGAGACTCGGTGCTGCACGTCAGCTATATGTTCTTTCACGCGGATTTTTATGAATCTCTTTGTTTGCCCTATGTATTCATATTTTTATTTATATTAGACTACACTCAAATGTGTTGACCACACATTCATTACAGCCTATTAAAGTCCACAGCTGAACATAGGCCCTCCTATAAAATGCCTCATAAGGGGAGGGGGGAATATTTGCCATAGTTGCCACGCTTGACATGCCAGCTGGCAAGCGTAGTTTTTTTCTAGTTGCTATTCCAAAGATACGATTGCCCATCTTCTGGTTTCTTTCCCTCTCACACCTCTTACGGCACCTACGGAACGATATCGGAATTATCTCAGATATTCTAATACCGCCACTATACGGTTTTTAAATGTTGGTATACAATATTTATTCATATAAAGTCATAAATAACTTCTGTTAAACTTTTCTCGTATACGATTTGGCGGCTAATTGAAAATTGTTTGTGTCACGTCAGCATGTATTTAAAGTGAGAAAATTTTCGTACAATGTTTTTTTATGACTTTCGATGTCATTTGAGTCAACAAGAAATTTCTGATAGACTTCGATTGGCTTTTCACGATGAAGCCCTATCTCGTGCCACCGTTTACAACTGGTTTAATGAGTATAAGCGTGGTCGCGCTAATCTCACCGATGGTCTGCGTGAGAGACGGCCTTCTACGGCGAAGGTCATCAGTCAAGAACATCAGTGTTGTGCGGCGTCCTTTCGTGCGTTCATCCTCTCTTTTGATTTAAAATATTGATCAATTGGCATTATTGTTTATAGGAGTCCAGTTGTCCCTGAGGCTTTGGCAATATTAAGGAACGCTTCCACTACCGAAGAGGGTGAGTTTGGATGGCCAGCTCCAAGAAAAGATGCTGCAGATTGGCTGTTGGAAGAAACTTCGAGAAACATTAAAACTACTTCCTACGGTAAGTTTTTCTTGCAAAAATTAACGTAAATAACAATTATATTCTTTAGTTAAAAGGTAGTTTTGATTGAACACATTACAAAAGTGGAACAACTTTTCTGTTAGTTTAAAAACTAAATCTAATTATTAATATTTAAATTACAATATTTTTGTTCAAATTGTATTATGTCATAATGAAATTCAAAATTTAATGTTATGCTTTATTGCACAGCATACAAAAATTATAGATTATATATACAAAAGAAATATGCGATGGGCGGTCTTATTGCTGATAAAAAATAATACTTACACATTATATATATATATATATATATATATATATATATATATATATATATATATATATAAAAATACCACGAATTAAAAATAATCAAAGTACTACATATATACTTAATGCTGTGGGTACGAAGTTACAATTTAAAGTGCAAGGTAACGATACTTTACTAGGTTTTTAAATACCGGTAGGGATGGTGTGCGTTTAACTGCCAATGGGAGTTCATTTCATAGTATGTGGATACTGTGGCCCAAATACATCCACATCTATCCTCGATTACGAAACAAAAGGCAGATGCGTTGTTATCTCTGAGGACTAATATGATTACGATTTACGTGGTAGAACCACGCTGCAGCTATGTTGTGGTTGCAGCACGAATGGGTCGGCTCGACCGGAGTAGGACCACGCACAGAATACCAGCGTAAAAGAGCAGCTTAATGCTGCTGTGTTTTGTATGTTGAGCTTAGAGAACGCATGCAATGAAAAGAACAGCACGCTGTAATGACCCGCTATTTTGTTTATAAACATTCAGTGTACAATGAGAAGGTAAAAAAACCGAGGATGGAATGCTTCGTTTCCAGTAAAAAGGGTCTCCGGTTCAATACACTCACCATACGAAGCACAGATCCATCAAGCAGCTCTTTTAATCTGTTATTCAGTATGAGCGTGTTCTTTTCCCAGTCGAGTTGACCATTTGTGCTACAGCCATAGTAAAACTGCATAGTTCTGCAACGTTTATTTATTTTAATTTTAAAATAACGAACAACACCAACAATGAAATAACTCTTAACTGATAGCTTTCTCAGCCCAAAAACACCTGCAACCTACCAACCAACACCCCCAAAAAAGTCATACTTACGTATTTATCCATGTGTAATACTGATGTGAAATTGTCGTACAGTCTAAATTATTTATTTGCTCGTTTACACTTAAAACCAAAACACAGTCTCAAAATTTTTAGATCGTACTGCTTTATGTCGTCGGCATTATGAAAAAAGCTATAAAAAACTGTAACTACAGAAAATTTTAAAGGGCATTTTGAGAAATTGAACATGGAGAAAAATCCAGATTATTTATTTTTTGAGCCGTGTGAAATTCGCTCTAAATAGGAATTAAACCTTTATGCTTGGTGGTTTAGAATATAAAATACTTTTAAAAACATTACAGAAGCTGTTACAATGGAGCAATACGTCGCCGGTGTAAGAGTTCTTCTAGCAGCTTGCGCAAGAGGAGCGTTAGCTGAAGGCGAGGCAGCAGCTCGCTTCCTATACTACAGGGCGTCCACGCTTCAACGACACCCCAGTTTAGCGTACAGTGCAACGAAAGCCGCAGCCCAGTATGCCGCATTAGCTCATGATAGGTATGAAACAAATTATCAAAGCTCCAGTGGATTAATTTCTCTCAGACAATCTAGTACTTCCTCCCTCCTCCCTCAGTGTCTAGCAGTGCTTCAACCTCACTACACAACACACAATAAAAAGTAAAGTAAAAAGTAAAGTTACAGCCTATATACGTCCCACTGCCGGGCACAGGCCTCCCCTCATTTCTGAGAGGGTTTTAGGGCAAGGAAGTGTCCGCGGCGCTGACCCAATGCGTGTTGGCGAACTTCACATGTTTTCGAAATATTTCTTATTATTCCTCAGATATGCAGGTTTCCTCACGAAGTTTTCCTTCATCACCGAGCACGTGGTAAATCAGCACTTAAAATTGCAATTAACAATTTCATTGGTGCCGGCGGGGATCGAACCCAGGTTACTCGCATTCTGTTATATTTACAGCGAGCGTTAACCATCTTAGCTACCACGGCTTTTCACCACAATAAAAATAATGAATATTTCCAAAAAGGATTTGAAATGATCACACTACGCTCGTTTACGATCTTTTGAGATGTTTTATTACTTTTACTGACCATAGAGTATACTATATTAAAGTGTAAGTATATTCACTACTCTATATCGTCCCATAAGTGTCGTAAGAGGCCACCAAGCACCTAGAGGACACCACTTTTTTCCAAATAACGACTAGAAAATAAGATACTGCGATTGCCAGCCCGCTATAAAAAAATATCCTTCTTAAATATGAGGCAATCTCGACGAATTGACGGCTCTATGGCGCAGTGGCTTAACAATGCGCTGCAGCGCTGAGGGCTGCGGGTTTGAATCCTAAGCCTACAAATAATTGTTCCGGGTCTGGATATATGTCCTTGTAAAATTTTATGTATGTAAACTGCCCCCACGATACGGGTAAATCCTAGTGTGGAGGTAACGTTTTAAAAAAGATAAGAAAATGTAGGAGTGGCCTATGATCATCTGTAAATTTTGACTGGCTGTAATAATTTATTTAATGAATAAAGACAATCCAAAGAGGCATTCCATCTTAGTTCTCACGGATGACAACGCATCTGCATTTAAATTCGTAATCGAGTATAGATGTACTTACCATCAAGACTGTGTGCTCGTTTGTCACCCTTATCCTATAAATAAAATAAACAAAAAAACAGCTATTTTTAAATAATTGCATTGTTTCAGTATAATGTTAAATCAAAAAGTTAATTGCTAAAGTGCAAATATAATACGTACGAGTACTACTGGGCACAGCTTCTTCTTATATCTGCAAGTGTTAGGAAGCGTTCGCTGCTGTTCCACAGTTTTTGACAGTGGATTTCAGTCCAAAAATTATGAAGGTTTTGTTAAGAAATTTTTGTACAGCTACAAGGATTTAGATCCTTGTAGGTTTTAAGTAATAACTGTAATCATGATCAAAGTCTGCCGACGAAGAACTCGGTTTACGTGCATATTATGAAATAAGAGTAGAAATCGTTTCTGAGCTATCAACGTTCTCCCGTTACGGTTTCTGATAATAAGTGTAAACACAATTTTTCTTTTGCAGACATCGGGCTCTTACTGTATCACTGGCAACGGCAGGAATGGAACTTACTGATACATTGGAATTGCGGGCTAAAACGCCTCCGAGACCTTTACAACTGCCTGGCTTGCCGACTAAAGTTTTTGTTTATGCTACGGGCGCAGGATGTGCAACTGTCCAGGTGGGATTTTATTTTTTATGTTAGTTATAATGGTTAACGAACACAAAGTTCTTTCGGTGTGTGCGTGAAAACTATGAAAACCTGTGGGGCAATTTTAGCCCAAAGAACTAAATTAGATATACATAGTACATGTGATATACTCTGCATGAATATACTACTAGATGTAGTCTGAATGAAAGGGTGATAGATTGTGTGATTTGTATGACGGTGATGTGACAAGGATTAAGGAAGGAATATTTCGGAGATTTGCACTCGTAGAAAGCTAATACATGACAAAATAATGAACTCGGCATACTGGTGACAAGAAAGGTTTATCGAAATCATACAAAATGGAAGTCCATACCTCAATCTATCGCTGACACTTATTTATGTACGTTTTATTTTTAATAAATAAAATTATTTTTTGTACGTTTACTTAAGTAACTACGAATTTTTCAGGGAACAATTTCTTACTCTACTTACTCGCCAAAACCAGAGAATGCTCTTTTAAATATTCAAGCTGCGATCATAGAAGAAATACATCCGGAAAGAAGTAGTATTGAGGATCTACAAGGAAACTTACCCACTCTTATCATAAAAACGTGTTTCAAGTATGTTTTTTTTTCATTATATATTGAATAACATAATGGTTTATAAGTAAAAAATATTATATTAAATTTCCACGTTAACATTTTATTTTCAGATGGAAAAGTAAGGAACGTTCCGGTATTCTACGTCTTGAGTCATCGCTTTTCTCTGGATATGAATTGCAGTCAGTCAACCCTGTAGTACTAGATGGTGCAACTTTTGCTGACTTACATTATGGTTCCAGGGGAGAATCGGTTTGGTTCGTTTTTGCCAATGTAAGTTTTTTATTCATCTAACACACACACACACACACACACATACACACACACACACACACACACACACATAATACACACACACACACATCAACAAACACACACACACACACGCACGCCCACCCCACACACCCACACGCACACACCCACATTCACAAACACATTCATTTATGCTAAACTTTAAAATCAGTTGAAGTGTACTAAAATTTCCTCCTAAAATCGAATTATATGTTTTTACTTTCCTATTTTACAGATCAGTTCAACCTGTCCTGTTTGCGTTACTTACGAAACACGATCAAAATTTGTAATCACAAGTCTGAGACCAGCATTTGCCAAGATATACCCCTCCACACGTCCAGACTTAGCTGTCGAAACATTCTTCCATGCTCGACCAGGTAGTCCATTACTTCGAGGTATAACCGATGATGACTTTATAACTTGGTTTGATAAAACTGAGATAGCAACCCTCACAACCACAGAAAGTATTGACAACATTTGCGAATGTGGGAGGATATGCAGCAGAGATTATGAATTTAGGAAATTAAATGAAAGTGGCCATACCATATTAAATTTGAAAACGAATGAGAGTCCCGCTGAAGTAATTGAAATTGTAACAGTTTCTGAAATAATTGACGTTGCGACTAATACAACTCCAGTGTCTGATGCTACATATCAAAATACAAGCAATAGCACTGCGCTACCGCTAACAACACCTCAGCCAACTTTAGTAAATATAAAAATAGAACAAAACAAAACTAACACGGAGCATTTTCGCTATAAACCAAAAAACGCCTCTATTGAACACTTATTATCAAAAACAAACAATGAATCACAAAATAATGTGACTGAGAATCAAAAGCTTGATAATAATTTAGAACCAATGATATCTGTAGTTAAATATGAGCACATAATGCAAAAGTTACCTAAATATTTTCCAAAGAAAGATGAATCAAAAAAGAAATTTCTTCCAAGGAGAAAAGGTACGCTTAAAGCTACATATGGAGATAAACAAGAAAAATTCTTTGCAAAATCGATTATTGCCAATAATACAATCTCTAACAAGACACATTATGAAAATATAAAAATATCGAAAAAAGCCAATATAACATTGGGACATTCTTTTGTTGCAAAAAATCAAAATAAAACTGAAATAAACATTACGGATTCAATAGACGATCTAAAAATCGATAATAAATCTATAAAAATACTGAATTATAAAAAGAATACATTAAATAATACAGTTTATTCACACAAAGAGACCACAATTATACCTCATACTATTGCAGCGATAACTAAAAGTAATATACAAACAATGCATTATAAAACAAAAAAACCAAATCCAATAACACAAATAAAAAAGCCCCAAATAATTCTTTATTCTAAAAATACTACAAATACTAATATGAACGAGAAAAATAAAACTTATATTAAAATAAGTAAAATTCAAAATAAGCCGTCTACTACTGAAAAGTCTGCAAAATCTCTGAAATCTATTAACAAGGAAATACATAAAATTCCGCCGACTCCAATATCTGAAACTTCTAAAGCTCTTGCTGATCCTGTAAAATCTGATATAGCGCCAGAAAACAAAGGTGGTTATGAAATTTTAGATAAAAATCGCCTTTGGGGGCTACTTAAGGAAGGTAGTGAGGGTGAAATGACAAAAGTAGAAGACAAACCACAGGTAAAAGACAGGTTAAGCATTGTGTCAAATCTTACACAAAATGATAATCGATCTTTATAAACTAAACTGTTATATAATTTGTAAGGCTAAAAGACTTCAGTGAATATTTTTGTATCATCTCTTAATTACTTTTTTCACTACTTAACAAAATTGTTAACATGAAGTATACAAACTAATATGTTCTTCGCTATACCATAACAAAGTCATTGTTTGTTGTTAGGATAAAGTAACTCTGTGCGAACTGTTCATTTCAGAATTAAAAGTTGTTGTGCATTGTAAATAATTAAAAAAAGCAATTTGAATAGCAAAACTGAAATAAGGGATGTGTGCTGTGACTTTAAACGTTTGAATGTTTGTATCCTATTGCTCAAAGTCTATAGGTTAATAGAAAACAACGGATAAAAATAAAAGGTAGTGAAGTATCGTAGTTCAGAAAAGTATAATATGTCAAATTAAAAGTTGACAGGTTTGTGAGCTAAAGCAAGCAATAAAAATAATGTTTGCTGACAGTCTCAAATAAGATCAAAATGTTTTAACGGTATTTGGTAATAGACCCGTAACGTAAAGTCTAGTAATATTATTTAACCTATTCTAAAATGGTTGTATTATTAGATTACAGTTAGACTAGTGCAAAATTTATTTCGATTATTATTATTATGGTATTTGTAAATAAATAAAAAGGTTGCCAAATTAGAATTAATCTTTTAACCCTACCCTATTATATTTATCTTTCTTAGCGAATATTTAATCCTTTAGCATACTAAAACTTTTAGATAATATAATGCTAATGGCCCCCAGTATTTCCATCCGTCTATCGTCTCCTGTATCTATTGTACGTAAATTGTAGTTTCTTACTGTAGATGTCTAGATATTTTTGTTGTTTCCGAAATTGTAAATCGGTGCTCATTCCTTCTTGTCCTTATTTCTTCTTTCTCAGCCAGTAACGAATCCTTCCTTTTTTAATTGTTATCAAATCGGTAATCGTTGTACCAGATCCTTTGTCAGTCTAGATATTTTACATTTATTTGAAACCATCATAAATCGACGGCCATGAGATTTTCTAGTTTTTCCTACATTATTTTTCCTTTAAACGCAACTATAATGATGCATTAACTAAATATATTTTTATTACAAATATCTTTTTAAGCAATACAGTATTCAACGCCTTATTCAGAAACTAACAAATGTGATAAATAAGTAATGAAATTATAAACAAACCCGAAAAATCCTGCGCGTACATTTTATAAAATCTCCTTTTATCTCTGATTTACAATTTCCCACTTCTGTGTAAACTTTAAGGTAGAAAATATAGCATATTCATAATTTAAGTATTTAATGTGTAAACGTATTTTTCTCTTCTAATTATAAACCAACTTAAAAATAAAAATAATTTTGGCAACTAAATAATAATATATGTAATTTAGGAATTAGAATCATAAGACAGTAGATATTTGATGTTTCTTTACAAAAAATCGCGTTCTTTTTTTAGTGTTTTCTTACTTGAATTCAGTATTTATAATATTAAATAAATATTTTGGAAGTATTAACTGTTGTTTATCAGTTTTTTAGCTTTAATATTGTATGAGATCGAGATTTTCTCATAAAACTGTTTCAATTATATATTAATTTATATGTTTTAAATATAGTATAAGTAATAATTATTATCTTTATATGTATAAATATACGGTTGTATAAATTAGGTGCTTATGCAAATTATTCTTGTCAATTTAAAAAGTAAAACCTCATTTTACAGCAGGTTTTAATCAGCCTGCTGTAATATTAAGCAAGATTTGAAATTAATATTTGTGCTTACAATTTAAGCTAGTTTATTAAGTAATATTACCTCGATGTACTGACAGAATAAATAATAGGGTGCATAAAATAACAATATTAAAAAAAGTTCTGTTTTTTTATTTCCCAAATAAAATTATTAAGACTCCTAAACCATACTTACCAATACCAATAATTCTACTTTTGATATAGAAAACTGGTAAATATGACTATAGACTTATAGACCATTATAATGAGTTGTGTATCGCCCAGCAACATAAAGTCAGGAATTTGGATTTAGAAAAGTCAAAGTTAGGGGCTTTTTAGGTGCCAAGTATAAAAAATTAGAACGAAATAAAATTAGAACGAACGAAGAACTGTTGAAATTTGCGTTGCTGGCAAAACGTATCGCTAGCAACGCAATGACGATAATAGATATACGATAAATATTAATAGCAAGGAATTAAGTGCTGCAACTATAGGCAATGACAAGGCGCCCCTATTGAAAAGTCGTTATTCAGAGCAAACCAGATGCAAAAATCTGGTCTTCTGAAAATCAGAAAAGAATCAAAATCCGGTGTAGAATTAATTTGATAATTAAGTGCTAATTTAGTGCTTACAAAAACACAACTCACTTTTTACACAGGAATATTGGCACAATCACTTCTGCAAGGACTTTATCAAGGTACTTTCTTATAAGAGGATAAGCGAACAGCATTTAATTAAATCAAAGAGTGAACTTCTTTGACAACGCTTTTTTGAATAACTACTTACCGATTCCGCTTCTGAGCTGCGACTACGTGCTGTTTTCTAGAGTAATTACGAATCGTTTCGTACGCAGACTCGACGACTTCTTGCCTCCTGAACAAGCTGTTTCCGCTCCTGAAAAAGCTTTAGTACCACAAACCACATAGAAACCTTCTGGCAAATCGTAAAAAAGACTGAGGAGTATACAATCTGACATTATGCCTGTCGGTATATCGAAGTAATGAAGTGTTTGTACAGTAGGGCTACGATGGCTTTCCGAGAGCAGAACCAGAGTACGTAACCTAGAGGTGTAAGACAGGGTGAGGTTATTTCCCCAAACTCTTCACCGCTTCATTGGGAGACGTTTTCAAATTACTAGACTGGAAAGGATACGATCATCAATGGAAAGTACATAGCTCACCTTCGATTTGCCGGCGATATAGTCACAGAATCGCTGGAAAACCTTAGTACTATACTCAACGATCTTAATAGTGCCTCCCAACGGCTAAGTTTTGAGATGAACATGGACAAAACAAATAAACAAATATAATGCGTAACGTCGTTGTCGTACCTATGCCGGTAGTTTTTGGGAGTACTAAGCCCGAAGTGGTTGATGAGTAAATTTACCTGGGACATTTAATCCGACTTGGTAAGTCCAACTTCGACCGAGACTTCAATCGACGGATTCAACTCGGCTGGGCAGCATTCGGGAAATTAGGACACATCTTCTCATCAGGTATACCTCTAAACTTGAAAACGAGTTTGTATGGATCTATGACTTAGTCCTTCTCTGCTGGCCGTATAAGGAAGCTCATGGTCGCTCAGCGAGCTATGGAGAGGACTATGCTCGGAGTTTCTCTGCGTGATAAACTAAGAAGAGAGGATATCCATGGGAGAACCGACATAGCCCAACGGAGTAGTAAGCTGAAGTGGCAAATGGGCCGGCCATATTATAGCATGAGGAACCGACAACCGATGGGGAAGAAAGTTTCTCGAGTGGTAGCTTCGTACCGGCACACGAAGTGTAGGGCGTCCCCCCATTAGATGGAGTGATAACCTAGTAAGACATGCAGGAAGTCGATGTATGCAGGTGGCTCAGGACCGTGCTTTGTGACAATCCTTGGGATAGGCCTATGTTCAGCAATGAACTTTTGAAGGGCTGTAAAGTTGATGATAAAATATCCTCGTGCTTTTTCACTTTAAGTAACATTTGAAGTGCAAATATACTTTATTTTTAGCTTAATCGTCATACCTTAAAGAATACACTAATGAAGCCTCTTCTAAGTAACAAGGATTTGCAGTAATCACCATGCTTGGCAGATTGGCGATCCAACAAATGTCTTGTAATTCCAACATTCATCGATCTATATAATTTTGCATTTCCCTTAGTCGACTTTTACAGCTCCCTCGCGATGAGAGGAGTCGATGACTTCGGGCGATCTGCACACGATAATAGTTTTTGTAGTTTTTATAAAAATAAAAGTAGAAAGAAAAGTTTTTTCATTCATTAATTCAGGTCTTCCCCAAAGCAAGCTCCATATTGTTTTAACTAGCTTTACGGCTCTGGGTTCTAGCCCTTATGAGCCTATCATTTCTTTCAGAATCTACATTTTTCATTTTTTATTTTCTTCACAATATGCTGATGCGTCACATTGCGAAGTTTCTGGGAGATTTTGAAGACAGCTCAACCCAGCGGACTGTTGATGACGACAGTCACTCAAGTTCATAAGACGCCCAAGCGATCAAATTAACTTGAGGGTTATATCAACATCAAATCACTTGTTTCGTCATTTTCTCTAATAGTTCACACGCGCCGACACTTATTTCATAAAATCACATCACTTTTACGAATTAAAATCCACTTCAAAACATTATTCAAGTGAGAAAACAGGAGCGACAGTCCGTCGACGGCCAAGTTCCCGCGAAAGTTCGCAAGCTCCATAGGGAGGATATTTGCCATAGTTGCGAAACTTGCTATACGCAATCTGTTATTAAGAAAAAATATGTACTAGATGGTAGGACTAATTAGGACTAAACTAGTAGTCCGTCTGGGTAGGTGCCACCTTCTTGCCTATTTCAGCCGCTAAATAGCAGTGCTTGAAACGGTATGCGCTATGCTCTTACCTCTCTATAGAGACTTGTTCTAACTGCTTCTGTTCCTTTGAAATAAGAAATTCAATAGCGTGTTACAAAATATTAGCATCAATCTCACAACAACAAGTTTCAATAGGAAACCGTCTTTAAACTATACCAGTTCCTGTTAAATCTATCCTGTTCTTGTGACTGATGCTGTGGAATTGATATGTCATATAATAAAGTTATTAGTTAGATTCATTTCATTTTATTGTCGGTAATAGCTAGATCTTGCACAAAAATACAATATATAACATCAGTGTATATATATTGCTTTTATTGAATAAAGGTTATAAACGAGCACACAGTTCACCGATGGTAAGTGGATGCTGTGGCCCAAAGATATAAATGTAGATGACAATTTATCCTCAATGAAGTATCAAAATGCCTTGTTACCCCTGAGGACTATG